TCCTTTTCATCTAAAAGCATCTTCAACTGCTTTCCTAGTCTCATTTCTGCCTTTTTGGGATAGAACTGAAAACCCTGGAAAGGAGAAAAGAAAAATCTGGATGCAAGTCTTAGTCTTGCAACAGTTCAACACTTCTGTTGTAGCAGTGGAAAGGTGGCATCATGCCTCTGGGGAACAGCACTTGGCTCAGATTTCCTCTAAACCACTTTCTTTCCTCATGAGACACCATGTCCCCTCTATTTTCCTGTAGATTCAGCATGCACTGAGCATGACCATCTTCCCATTTTAGCCTACGCTGGAGCTTTGGTTGTCAAATGAGATGTACTTGTTTTTTTACATATGCAAAAAACACAACATGCACTTGTTTTTTTACATACGAATTTCCACCTTCAATTTAAAACTGGAATAGAACTACTTATACATGCTTACACACCAAAGCTCTCCCTAAAAGTGTCTAGTTTTAAACAAATTACTGACACTAAGTCTATATTTGGGAGGCTTTTTTTTTTCAGAGGAAGCAAACAAAAGGAGTGAAGAGTCGTGGGGTTTTTTTGCTTCCCGTTAATATATGGGGTAGAAATGATAGGTGAAAAAAGTTAGCAGATTTAAAGAATGCTTGCTAGTGCCTGTGCCAGATGCTGATAGCTATAAATAGCCACTTGAACAAGAATGACTGCAGGGAATATCTTATCCAGGCAAATAGGAATTTGTCGAGTAAGATCAGGGCAAAAATGGAAAAAAAAAAAAACAAAAACAACTCAACGTTTTACATTACTTCTGCTGCAGAGGAAGTTGTCTTAGTACTCCATGAAGTGGAATAAGAACATGTCCTCAGGATGACCTTATGTAAATGTCACCTAAATGTGTTACCAAATTTAACAGAACCAAATCTATCCTTTTTACCATTAGATTGCTAGTCACTCATGAGTACAACCTCAATTTCCTTGCTCCATAACCCTTAGAGAAGTAAGCAAAGGACAATACATAAGGCTACTTCAATGTGATAATAAAGCAGCATGCACCCCATGAGATGAAATTCTAAAACAGAACTCTGGTGTAAAAACCATGATTTGCTATCTTACATTTTTCTTATTGTCTCACTCAACAAAATTTTTGAAAAGAAAGACTCTTGACTTTCCTGCCACTTTTCCTTTATACTTTGGTATCAAACTTGTCTTCCCTTATATCCACTATAGTGGGGTTTTAAAACCTACAGCAATATAATTCCTAAGTAGTTCAAAATGTGAAACATCAGTACTTGAGATGACAAGCTATCATTTCTACAGAGCAGTCTGACAAGTTTGGAAGGACCAGGAGGTTGGATATGGATTCTAACTAACACTGGTGAGCCTGGCTCCTCAGGATTAAATTCCCAAATAAGTAACCGCTACTTTTCCACACACAGGTCTGTGAAAGTTATTCTCATTGAAACAATTTAAAAAAAAAACAAAACCAAAACCAAGTAAGCTTCAGTCTGTGTCAAGATATTGAAGGCTTTCAAAACCTGATTAAGAACATTAAATGAGGTATTGAACTACATTAGAAATCAACCTTCTTCACGTATTGAAATGTAATGGTCTATAATTTGTATTCGAGTGATTTTATTTCTGGTGAATAATAACTGTACCGCAGCCAACTTTGTGCCCTGTTTCTCTGAAAACCTCAAGGGAGGTACAGAAGAGGATTTTGTAGCCTGCTGAAGACACACACACTTTGTGTGACATCTGCTTCTTCAGTTTCTACAGGAAGGTGAACTTTGTTTCATTGTGCATTTATTTTTTCACTGATGGTTCCTTCAAACTGATAAACACAAATGAAAGCGCATCAGTGTTAGCTGTACTGGTGGACTCTGGAAAGTCCTATAACCTAAATGCAAGTGCATGGAAACAGAGGACTCAGCTTGAACGCATTAGTAGGTGGACTTGCAAATCAGGAGATTTATAACAATATATGCTTGTTTCCTGGTTTTCTCTGTGGAATTTGAAGTTTCCTATAGTCACATGATGTTGAAAATAAAAAAAAACACACACAGAAGCACTTGTCATTCCATGTGCCTCAGATTTGCAGGAGTTGGGGAAATGGTCATTTCTCACTGTTGTCAGCTGGGGCTGACTGGCTGGCTGTCAGCTCTTCAGGGAACGACCCGGGGATCCCGGTAGACAAGCTGATCCTGAGCCAGCAACACCTCACAATGCTGTCTACACTAACCCCCAGAACACACTACCTTCCCTACCTAGCCCATTTCAGCCACACACCTTTTATGTCAGCAGACATAAAGCTTCATTCCACCACCTGCACTCCAGATACCCTATACCCAAGTTCTCTGTCCCTCTCCTGCTTCTCATATTCTCTTGGCTGCTGTTAGGCAGCTTTTCTGCCACTCTCATTCTTATTTCCATACAGCTTCCCTGACACTGTTGTCAGCCTGCTTTCCTTCATAATCATTCTGTATGGCATCTCTACTCTTCCCACAGCCACTGTGTATGCAAGGTCATTCTTGGCCATCACCTTTAGCCCCACTCTGAACAAGAGAGGCCCTATTTGCTTGCAAACGTTCACAGGACCATGACAGCTTTTCTGCTGAGAGCAATGTAAAACTTCTGTCCCTAATAGGGAACAGTGAGCATTTGATGCGAAGGAGAAGTTTGAGAGCACACATGGAAATTCTTACAAAACTGTACTAAGTGATGTATGATACAAATAACAAGAATGGAAAAATATTTTGAAATAAAAAGAAGTATGATTGAAAATTAAAGGGAGGGTGGATTAAGCAACACTGACTGAGAAAACTTTCAGTCTTGGTCAATATTTATCCCTGTAGCACTACCAGTGGGTTACCAGTTTCATCTTCTGTCACTGGGGATGGAAAATGTTAGAACAAAGGAAATGTCAGGATAAAGGAAAAAAAAAAGCTGGGCACTTTATCACCAGGACTCTCAGTCCTCCAACACAAGATCTAAACATTGTCTTTCATTAGCTCCAGTTTCAAACCCAAACACCTATAGTACCTACTATTCTTCTTCTGAGTAATTTGTCCATTTTTTTTTCATTGTTTGGCTCTTTTTTAATTTACCAGAAAATAGTTTTAGTTCACCTCCTTCAACTTCAGTTAAATGTTTATATTATGTTATCAAATACTGTTTCATTAATACTTCATCGCATAAAATCTGTGAGAAGTTGGTAAACCCCTCAGTAGCTACTCTGCAGTCCACTCTGTCCTAGCACAGCTTACGTTGCCATCAGTATCTAAGCAAACTGGTTTAATGAAATCTCAAAACCATTTACACTACATGTCTAGAAACTGTAGTATAAATTTAGCCATATGCGTTGGCATGGATTACATACAACAAATTAAAGTTTTCTTTCCTAAGGTAGGCAAATTTGGAATGCAAATGGTAAATCCTGAATTTCAGACAAACAAATGATTGCCTATCAAAACTCCTTCCCAAACTAGTCCTTAGAGTACTGCGTACATGTAAAGGTGGAAAATCTGAAAGATCCAGACAATTGCCACAGGCATCTTTAGTTGTAATGATACTTCCCGCTTGCAGATAGAAGCACAAGAAAGAGGTAATAATAGCTAAATGGATATTAGAATCTGCCATTACCTGATCTATCTGCACAATTACAGCAGTATGTGAATGCTAAATTGCTTATCAAATCTGGCTTAAGAGCCTGAAACAACCCCTTTTCAGGAACAACATGTCACCTATGTGTTGTTTGGAACTGATGGAACTTTTCTGTAGAGAGTACCACATGGGTATAACGCCTAAAACTGCGAAGAGAATTAATTGCTTCCAGAGAGATTTCCTTCCCAAGCTGAACCAAAGGGGGAATACAACACTCAACTCCGTTTCTGAAAAACAGGCATTAAGAGGCCACAGAACTCCCCCAAAATTAGATTTTTCCTCTCCTTTAACATTGCCAGAAACAAAAATGTTAAGACTAAAAACATCTCAAGACACATCACAGTTGTCAAATCAGAGTAAACAATCATTGTCTCTGCTCTGAGAAAGTCACAGTGATTCAGCCGAATAGAGTCATTTAGTCTTATTATTACTATAAATTAAGTCATGGGAGCTCTACTGATTTGCACGAGGAGATGATGTGACTAACTTTGTATTGGCAAATAGGCTTCTGAATGCACCCCAGAAAAAATTAAAAACCACTCTTTATTCTGCCAAAACCAACTATTCCCTCTCCATCTAAAAGGATCAAACAGGAAATCACAGACTATATAAGTGATAAAGCAAGGTGTCCCACTGGCATAAATAGAATGTGAAGTAAATTAACATAAAATAAGTCCAAGCAGAAATCTTTCGTATCTACTGCTGATAACGGAAATGCTATCTAGAGGCTTTTTCAGGTATGTTCTCGTACTTCTAGCATGGCTGAGTTTCTACAGATGGTGACTCTTCAGAAGCAGACTTCAATCTTCAGAAATTGATTTGAAACAGAAACAGATACTATGAACTAAATCCAGAGTCACGTTGCTGCATTCTCATCTATTCCACAAATTTCATATTAAGCAATTTATTTAGATTGCAAAACTATTTTGACATCATGAGGGTGGCAGAACTACTTCTGATCACAAGCATTTCATTTAATCATTGCCAAAGAGAAAGACGGTAAAGAAATATGAACAGATAGAAGTAATTCACCTGCTTAGCAGCAAAACAAAAAGGGAATTAAAAATATCCAGACTTTATATGCAGACACTCAGGAAAAACTCAGTGAAACAATTTATACTATTAGATATAGAAAATGCGCCATCGTAGGAGGCTTTGTGGTCCTGAAGGCAGTGGGCATTTCACTGCTGAGACACATTTATAGTACTGAGAGACTGCTATTTGCATTAAGCTATGTCAATATTTAAAAAGGAAATTCAACATGCAAACCAATATGTTAAAAATGTGTAAAGAGACAGGGGCAATTTGCAGTTTTAAAGCACTGTCCGTCCATCCAAAGGCATAAGTCATAGAAAGCATAAAACCACTTACCCCTTCTTGCTTAGGAATGTTGAACTTGGCTGTCTTTGACTTGGTCCTGGCTGAATCAGGCTTGTTAGAAGGCACTCCCCTATACGACTTGGTTGTCTCTGCTTGTAACTTCAGCTTTGGAGACTCATCAGGAGCCTGATCTTGACCGTCCATTGGCCTTACATAAGCTGTTGGTTTCTGCTGAACCAGACTGGGCTTTGAAGCAAGAGAGGGTGGGAAGTTTTGGACGCAGTGGCCGCCACCATGTTTTGCTGGCCTTTCTTGCACTTGAGCTCCTCCTTCTGAGCTACAATTGAGCTTTGCTGGCTGCTGCAACCTGTTGACGTTGTCTCCTAGTGTGGCCCTCAGTGAGCTTTGCTGGGAAGCATTGGAGGAGGAGGAGGAGGAAGTGGGACTCGATGCATAGCGTTTTAGTTTATCCAGACTGGATTTTGGGTTCGCAAGTTTGAAGTCACTCTTGTGTGACTCCAGCGACCGGTGCCCATGCTTGCTTGCTTTCTGTTGGCCATCTGAAGGGGCACTGTGCCCAGCCTTCTGCCAACCCATTGTGGTGCTTTTGCTTTGCTGGGCAGATAGGACTGCTGGTGTGGAAGAAGTAGTGCTGGAAATGGGAGGAGGAGGCGGCGGTCTCGAGTCTGCCATAAGATGTTCATCAGGCCTGGGGAGAGACATCTGAGGAATCCCAGATTTTGGAACCCCAACAAGGTGGCTCTGGTTTGATCGGTCAGTTAACAAGTCTTTCATTTCATCATAGTTGCCCAGTGTATTCTGGATGCGATTCGAGAGCTCATCCCCCTTGTTAGTCTGCAAAACAAAAAGTGAGCGTTCTGCAACTGTCAACGTAAGAAAACCAAAATTCCCTGCATGCTTTTGCTCAAATCCTTACTGAAGTAGCACTGCCTGATTCAGCAGCGGCGTTCAGGGATGAAATCGAAAATCCTTATTGTCTCTGAAGACACTTGTCAACATCTTAAATCTACTCTGAACTGGAAAAGCTATAAAGGGCCTTAGAGTATATAAAAAAAGAAATCTATCACTGGTATCATGCTGTAGTTAAAGTATATTACCTGGAAACTAGAAAATGTATTATTGCAAGTACACAGAATGGTTTGGATTAAATCTGACCACTATAAAACTTTTCCTACAGCCCAGTGCAAGCTCTCCTTCAGCCAGGAATGAAAACACTGCCTTCCCAATTTCCTTCTCTGCCTGCGTAAGTTTTCACATGGCATCTGGGAAGGCACACAGCATCCAGTGTAATCACTGAATGAACTTACCAGTCTAAACCAACCAAATACTCTGAGGCAACTTGAAGACAGCTCATGGGACAATGGGAAAACTACAGATGATTACGTCCCTTCTTTGAAAATACTCTGACAGGATGTCTCCAGGGCACTCTCCTTTTTTTTAAGAAAAGAGGTGAACAGAACTCCCCAAATTCTTCACATTGCTTAGTGCTTTCTATGTGCAGCAGGGGGAAAACAGCCACCCTCCTGCCCCTTTAAAAATAATCATTATCTTTAAAATCATCCGTCCTGAATGAAAAGGCAGAAGCTCCACAAAGAAATAAAACAAGCAAATAAAACATACTGGAAAAGATTGAAAACTCTTGCTCTAAAAAGCCACTGTAAGCAATAGGGTGTATCATTAGTATTTATGCAGCAGAGATTTTTCTGAACCCTGCCAAGATTCAGGTGTGTGATGTCTTTCACTTTATGTTTTCAGAGGAAGACAGTAAAGAGAGCCAGTGGTGCTCTCCTTTCTCTCTTCCAGACATGGGGTTGGGAAAGGAAAACTCCTATTTGCTTCAGAAGACAAAGCTTTCATCTTAAGACTCGCTGTTTTAGAGGAAAACAAAAAGAAGGAAAAAGAAGGAAGTAAAGGGAGTGGAGAAGACTCCCTTAAAGTTATAGGAAGGATATGAAAGATGCAGCAGTAACATCAGTTGCTCTGGAAAATTGGTATATTTTGAGGGGGTTTAAGCCTTCAAATAAAATTGAGTCACTCAAACAAAAATATAAGGCAAACTTCTCTAGTTCAGAATCTTCTTTTTTTAGAGATTCCTGTAAAAGAACCCCAATTGAATCCAAAAGAAAATGCCCTATCGATGAGTACAGCGATTGCCACACGCTACCTTTCAGAGGACTACAGGTGAAGCATTCCTTAGTCAGACAATAGAAGCAGTCCTATCTTGCTTGGAACTTGCCCACCCTCAATTTCAAGGACACTACCTTGTAAATACGTATAATACATTGCAGCTAGTTTTTCAATATGCATTTGTTACAAGGCTAGAATTACATATATATCAAGAATGTATATTGGATGGAAGCAGAAAGGGAAAAGCTCAGAAGTGTTGCACCCACAACACTGCTTTGCAAACTTGGAATAAGATGGCTTAACCACTATAGCCTGATCTTCTTTCTGCATATGCAGCTGCTATTTTCACAAGGACAATAACCTGCTATGAAAATAAATATTAAACATTAATTCACAGACAGCAAATGGTTTTAAAAAAGGGCGTTCCTTCACTTCACAGGAATCACGCCAATTTCCTGAAGAAGAAACCATTAAAAATGCTTCGAAAATGGGAAGCATCACGTCTGAAAACAAAGAAGGTGGGAGATAAACTCGTGTGTCTCCTGGGATCAATGAAATGGTTTCTACACTTGGGCATCTCCTTAACCAGCAGACTTATTTTCCAGAAAGCACAGAAAAATTTCATTTTATCCAGTGGATCTATTCTGTGATTCTGGTGGATCCTCAATCTCATGTAGATAACTTGTAGAGAGATCTTTTTCTAGTTTCCCTCTATGGAGGGAGATCTGCCCTTGAGCACTCAGTTTGATTCAGCAAGCATGTGTATGAGGTTTCTTTCCCTGCTGGGAGCATGATGACAAGAACTACCAAATTGAATGGTGCCCCCTACACCTGCAAGTCTCCTACAGCACAGACAGTTTGTAGGGCAGCTCTCCACCCATGTTCTTCTAGGCCCATAAACATAAAAGTATTTATGTGCAAGTTTTCCCCCTCGGAAGTCCAACTTCCCTAACAGAAGGCCCATTCTTTCTGAAGGCTGCTATTTGGATGGGAAGGAAATAAAAGCCTAATGGCAGATTATCTGTAGACTATCACCAGCCCAGAAATGTCAGCATGTTTTCTTCTATATGGTTGTGATGTGAGGCTTACACAGAGACACCTCATATTGACAGATCTCAGATAACCACAAGCAGCAAACTGATCTAATGCTGGTACTACAGCACATGCTGACAACCAGTTGGTGTTGTTTATTCCTTCTGGATACACTGGGGACAACTTTGAGCTGATCTCATCCAGAAGAGTTCACCTACCTCCTCATGGGAACAAGACAGAATCTGAGGTAACTAGTTATATGCTTTAGATGTAACAATTTGTCCTATTATTTGCACTGAAATATTGCTGGCCTTACTTGATCATTCAGTTAGGGAAAACATGATCACAAAATGAGTAAGTAAGAAAAGCATTTTGTGCAAACATTTCTAACTTACAGTGCTCTGACATTCTTCTGCAATGCAAGATGAATCCATGCATTTGAAGACTGAAAGATCCAACACTTCTAAAAATAAACTGATGGTAGCATGGAAGGCCATCAGATTTTTTTCTTCCTTAAAAATACTGATACGGTTAATGAGGCAAGGTGTTCTGTCCAGGAAATATCCAGGCCTAATTCCCTACTTTTTCACCCCCTTTAAAAGACATTTTAAGTGAAAGATACTGGATTTCCTGTAATCCTTCATAAAGGGTTGCTATGGCTACTTTGAACAGGATACAGGGCAACCCAAAGAGTCAGGATTTTTCAAAAATCTGATGTTACAGGAGTAGTGGTACATGTCAAGGTGAGAGAGGACATCAGATTTAAGAGATTTCCAGTATGCCTTTGATTTTCAGATATGGCCTTCAGAGTGCAAATCCTTTGGCTTTACCTCCCTTTCTCAAGTTGCGCAGAGGAACACTGAATTTAATCAGATCTTGCAGTGAATGTCTGCTGTAACTTCATTCCCTTCTGGAAAAATCCAAAGCCTGAACATGCTCTTTAAAGACAGTAAGAGTGTGTTTCAGTTTTGCTTTTGCAGAAAGGTTTCCTCTTTTGCAGTTAGCCTCTCTCCATGGTAAATCAAAATGTCCACGTCACAGCTCTGTACCCCCACACTGGAGGTTCATAACTGTTTTGGATAAGTTCAGGCTGCCCAATGGTCCACTGCCAGTGTAGACATGACATTCAATATCCACTTTGCTTCTAGAGTTGGTAATGATTTTTCATCCACTCCTATTAAAGCTGATGGAATTATACTGTAGTTGCATAGAAGTGCCTTCAGACACCATTGCTCAGAAACTACTGGTATGTTTATGATACATGCAGTCTGTGCCACGACGATCAGTACACTGGCACACAGGTAATAATCAAAGTTTACAAAATACTGCAACTATACCACTCCTAAAAGTGATTTGAGTTTCAGTATTACCAATGGAGGTACCACAGACATGATGGTATCAGGGACCTAGAAAAATGACAGGCCCTGCTTTGAGAGGTCTATTTAATTGAACCTACCAAATGGAAAACTATTAAGTCCCCATTGCAGCAGAGTCCTCACAAGATGACAAGATGCAACTGACTTAAGCTTTTCAGGCCTTTTTTCATCGGTTAGCCCTAAACTAGTCTCAAAGTAGATTTTTCAAGTCAAGTCTTGAAGAGTTCAGGACATTTGCCATGGATTCTAAATGCCTCTGTAATGAATCTGAAATTCGGGCAGCTGGAGGTCAGCTTTGTGTCTTCCATTAAGGGACATGGTTTGAAAGTGGTTGATCTTTTTTATTAGAGACTAGATAAAACCAGCAACCTGAAAGAACAGCAAGCTACAGGATGACGCTGGAGCACAGGCAGAAACTCAGAAGCGTGGAAGCCTGGTGTTGAAGCTAAGTGCCAAATCCCAGATAGGACTCCTGAAAAGAGGCACTAAAGCACCCAGAACATCAAAGACAAGTGATGTTGTATGGAGGAAAGGGTTTCACAAGGTGGTGGTTTTAACAGTAACTTGGACATTTCTGGAAGGGCAGAGCACAGGATACATGATGATGCTTTGATGCAGGCAGGCAGAGGCACTGTGTTAGCTGGGGAGGGGAGCAGCCCCCATAGGATACCTTTTCACAAAGGCTTGGTTGAAAAAGGTGAACGCCAAGATATTTCACTGCATTAACCTTGGCCAGAGCATAATGCTTACTGTTGACCTTCACACAGAACTTAAACACACTTGTTTTCAAAGTGTTGCAAAAACAGGCCACCGTCACCTTCATCTCCTAGTTTGAATTCCATCTCAAATATTGTTAGGATATTTATAGTTTATTTCATTCTCGTGTGCTGCTGAACATTCTAAGAGGTTTATATATATCTGTATACACACCCACACAAAATCCAGTTCTCAATGAACCATAAACGTTCTCTGTGAATTTTGTGAGGCTAGCACTTGTGGGACAGTGCTGAAACCTGGACAACACCTTCTGCAGGCTGCATTTTTTGTACTGTGGAATAAATGAATAAACAAAGAGCCACCCAGCTGGGAAGCATCTACCTTGTATGGTTCACTGAAGAGGGAGTAACTCGTGTTAAATGCTCCATCCTCCTGCTGGGCCTCCTGATTTCTCCTTTCCCATTCTTTCCTTCGCAGCACATTTCTATCTGGCTCATAGACACTGCAGCAAAAGAGAGGAATAGCTTTTTAAGAGTTAAAAATTATTGGGCAACATATAAAGCAACATGAATTTAAAAGTGAAGAACTCTGGTTTGAAGACAGATGGCAAAAATAAGTAAGAACATGAATGCCAGTCCAAGCAGGCTGGGAAGGCTCAGGTCTCTGGGAATGCTGGTGCTTTCTTCACACAGAGAATAGATAATTAAATTCTTACAGAAGAATAAGAAAGAACTCACAGGGCAGCATCTAGTCTGTGCAGAAATGTGACAAAGGATATGTCTAAGCAACTTTGAGAAAGACTGAAGGTACTCTTAAGGCAGATGGTAATTACAGCTATGAGTAAATAGAAATTATGAACATATTTCCACTTATGACATATCCTCTGAGTGTTGTATGAGAATGCTCCTTTTTTTCACATGGATGTGTTTCTGTAGTGATTCTTTCATTAACTAGCTCCCTAAAGAGCTGTTAAAACTACATGCTGCAGTGGTTTCCACAGTTAGGCTGCTTCTTCTGATCTCTGTTAATCAGCCAAGTCGTGAAACTACTACTGAAACAATTCCTCTTTCTGATGGATTTGACACTATCACAATGTCAGAGCATGAATAAATGAATACTGGCATGATAGTGTATGTATGGATGGTAGAGTGTAGCTGAAGGAAGAATAAAATCACTGCTTTACAAAGTGGTATTAATTTTCAGAAATTAACTAGCTTGCCTCCTATACAGACATCCAGAATAAATTAAAAAAAAACTATTTTTTTCCCCCCAGAATTCTGGTTTAATGCATGACAACATAAACCAGAGAATCCTTTCCATGAATTGCCACAGAACAACACAGGTTTACACATTTCAGCCTGCTATATTTTATTCCCCTCACAAAGGAAACCAATGTATTTAATCAGGTCTACATGTTATTTCAGGACAGTATGACGAGTATGCTGATTGCCTGTTTTGCTTAGCTTAGCTAATGTCTTTCTCCTGGCACTGTAAATCTGTAAAGTAGAAATATATATTAATGTCATGTAAGTGCACCATGTGCTAATAAGAAAAAGGTTCTCTTGCTAACCAGCTTCCCAGATAGTAAAACATATGTTGCATCAGCTACCCATGTGACGTTACCTAGTATGCCTCAGGCAAGGCAGTCAAAAGGCCAACAGCTATCTGATTCTAATTCAAGGCTTGAGAAAGCTGAAGATACATAGGATATGCTAGATGCTATTAGTATTTAAAAACAATGCCTTAGCAGTCACCAAAAGAACATAAAATCTTGTTTACTTGTTTGTGCTGCTAACTCGAACTGGACTGTGGAGTATCTTTCTGATAGGTCTGAGGACATCTAAAGGTAGATGCCAGACACCAAGCAGGGCCCTTAAACATGGGGGTTTATTGTGAAACATAGGGTTTCAGTACAGCACGTTGGAGGCAGCTTCCAACCACCAGTTTGTTTATTCCAATTACAGGCTGAGTTTCTGGGGGGTTTATCCCATCTTGTTATTCACGTGTTATGCATGTTATTTACACCAACACCTCTCTTTGGAAAATGGTGTAATGAGAAGGCAATGGAAGGGGTGGAGTTTTGGGCAAGGAAAATGCCTTTCTCCAGGAAGAAGGGGATAGAAAAGGCTTCTCCATAGGGTCCCAGTGAGTGGAGATCATCTACTGCACACACTGCAGAGGCCAGAGGAAGAGCAGCTGTCATTTACTGCTGTGAGAGCAATGGTCTTCACCTAGTACATCATGCTACCTGAGCATATTCCCATCAGTTATGCCAGGGTAAAAGACTTCCTAACATCAATCTCTGTGTCTAAAGTAGACTTTCTGCCATGCTGGATAGCTATTGTTTGGTTAGGGTTTTGGGGAGTTGCCATGTTTCCTTCTCCAGAATCTCTTGACTCTTTGAGATGCTTTAAATTTGGACTCTGAAAACAAAGAGAAATGCAGCCTACAGACAAAGAGAAATGGGCAGCTCCCCTGAGATTAATTATAATATAATGATCTCTACCTGGTTTCTAGGAAGTAAACAAGAGCAACATTCTTCACTAGACCTCATACAAACTTGAAAATGCACTGGTGTGATACTTCTGAAGTGGAAGAACATTTGAATCCCTTTAGTTATTTGGTGGAGGCATAATTGATGAAGACATATAAGTCATCAGATCTCTGAGCCCCCTTCCCGAATGAGATGTTCACTGTTGCTAATGCAATGCACAACCTGCAATAATTCAGAATGATTATGCAAATGGAAAAAACATGTGATGATCTCTAATATGCCATCTATAAGCAGTAAGTTAGAAAGAGCTACAAGTCAAGAGTTGCATTCCTGTGGTAATACCAGATGGCAAAATCTCTCGCATTTGTAAGGCTGCTCCTTATTTGCATGAACATTGCAACAATCACATTTCCTTGAACGTATGTCACCAAATGTATTTATTTATTTTGGTTCAAGGAGAATACTGACAACTGCTATAATTGTCTTTATTGCAAACACTGCAGTTAATGGAAAATGATTCTTTTTAATAGCTTTCTTTCTTTTTTTTTAAATTTGCAAATTAAAACAATCCCAAAAGTGTACGCACATTTTTAATCACTTACAGTGTGTGTCTTTTCCATAGCTCAACCATCAAGAACAAGTTTGTGGAAACCTCAAGATTTTTTTCCTCACTGGTTTACGCGGGTGGGTGCGCACGTGGGTGACGTATTCATATATGTTATATACACATTCACACATCCATTTATTGATGATAAGTTTTTCTAGCATGGGTGTAAATGTTGAAGCAGTTTTGCAAGACTTAGAAACCAAAGAACACGCAGCCATTCATCTCTCAGAAGTCAGTGTCATTTACATTTGTTTTATACAGGTCAGACTCCAAAAAGATTAATTTGAACAGTTTTACAATGGTATATTTTTATTTTTAGGATGCTGCATCTGTTTCAAATTCATGCTTAAAGAACATGAACTGAAGCATGAGTAACAAGTCAAACACTTGCAAAAGTTATGAATAAAAGTTGTATTATAAAAATTACACTATCCTGAATTTATCACACTGCTTTAAAACCACACTCTGATTTATTTCACCCCTAAGATCTGCCAAGAGACATACTGGACATACCAATGAATAATGTCACAGGCTCAAAGCTCTTTCAGCACGCCATCACTACCACTCAGTCACAGCAGCCCTGCCTTCTCTGCTTCTTTTAGGATACTTTGAACAATTTTACTTTCAGACATTTTACAGATCAGAATACCAATGGAGTGCCAAAATTCTCAGAGTAGATATGTTTATTAAATTTCAGTTTGTTGTGGTGCCTGTTGGAAGATTACCTTGATGGGTACACAGTCTTTAGCCATGTGCTAGGTACGTGTGGGTCCCCATGAGACAAGCTTGAAGAAACGCATTAGATTCAGCTGGCATGGAGTTCATTTTCTTCAGAGTAGCTGGTTTGAGGCTATGTTTTGGATTTGTGCTGGAAATAGTGTTGATGACACAGGGATGGTCTTGTTATATGCAGAGCAGTGGTTTACACAGAGTCATGGCCCTTTCTGATCCTCACACCACACCACCAGTGAGTAGGCTGGGGATGCATAAGGAGCTGGGAGAGGACACAGCTGGGACAGCTGACCCCAACTGACCACAGCAATATCCTATACCATACAGCATTATGCTCGGCATATAAAGTTGCATGAAGAAAGAAGAAGGTGACGTTTGGAGGTATGGTATTTGTCTTCCCAAGTAACTGTTACTCGTGACAGAGCCCTGCTGTCCTGGAGATGGCTGAAACCTGCCTGCAGTGGGAAGAAGTGGATGAATTCCTTGTTTTTCTTTGCTTGTATGTGTGGCTTTTGCTTTACTTGTTAATCTGTCTTTATCTCAACTCATGAGTTTTCACATTTTTACTCTTTCAATTCTTTCTCCTAGCCTACCAGGGGAAGGGAGCGAGCAAGCAGCTTTGTGAGGTTTAGTTGCTGGTTGAGGTTAAAGTACAAGAGGAGGAGAGCCCAGGCATACTGGTTCCTGATGAGGGGGTGGCTGCAGAACCAGCCTCCCCACAGTACTGACAGAAATGCATATAGCTTTCTTCATGTTACTCCTGACATCAGAAGGAATCGTTTCCTTCAGTCCTTAATTAGAAATAGACAGAGACGGCTCAGGGGACAGCATAGGAGCAGAGCAATAACCTTACCTGAAAAACCTGGGACTGGATTTAATCTCCTACAAAGTCCAAAGAGTTCTGGTGTCTTGGGCTAGGCTGAAAGCAATCATATAAAACCCTAAAGTTTAAAGTGTTGAAAAGTCTCCTTTTCTTACTTGTTTGTGAGTTGTTTCTTTTTAAGCACACCCTTTCTGACACAATTTACTCCCCGCACACATCACTACTTGGAACAAAAATAAAAAGGTCTAATCTTCATGATGAACTGCATGGAGACAATGCACCAACCTACTCTGTCCTTCAGTTTTAGAGGGTGTTTAGAGAACACCCAAGTGTGGCATTCAGAGGAAGGTGTCCTTTTCTCCCAACTAAAGCACTCCATCTTCACTGAGGAATTACACGCCTTCACAGATGTATGGTGTTCATTAATGATGATGCTTGACCTTTTCAGAAACCACAAAATTGCCACATCACTAAGGGGAAACTCAGGAAAGATACTGCTATTTTGCTACAAGATCACCATTCCTGTAACATCTTTGAGGCTGTATGAGGCACAGTAAGTAAATTGAGGGTAAGATTGCTGGTGCTCCTCTTGCATTGCATCAATATATTTTCTTGCAAAGGAAGAGGACAACGACTCTGGCTGCCCTGCCAGCATGACAGAGGAAAGCGTTACTGCGTGTATACACACACCTGGTGACAATTACTGAACTCATTATAGTCTGCAGTAACCTGCAATCTCGCCTCTGCCTTTCCAGACCTTCCAATATCATTTTCCAGTCCAAAGATTTAGTTCATTATTTTCTGAATTGTGAAGGCTTTGCAACACCACCCCCCCCACACACACAC